AACGAATGTGCAGCTCAGCCTGGATTTGGTTGTGCAGTCTAAGCCTGTCAGCTCAGTCTAGGAGGTAAAGTAGCCAGATCTACAGTAATGGCTGGCATCACCTCTTCAAGGACTAGAAAAAGACCTGTTAACCTTAATTTAGTCAAAATTCTTGTGCTTGTTATTTAGGAAGCCTTAAGTAAGGCGCACCAAGGTAAAATGCCTCTCTATGGAACTATTTTCATGCAGCTGTGATTTCTGAGAGTTGTTATGCAAATTTTATGATATCATCATGCTTATTTCTTTGTGCACATTTCAGTAAATGAGCTATGATGATGAAGTTAGAGTCAAATGTAATCTGGAACCATGGTGGTGAAGTGGAGGTTCCAAGAAAACTATCAAAGGTGGAGGGGAATAAACAGAAAACAAACGGAAGGCATGCAACTCTGATACAGTTATTCCTAACTCATTTTGCGAGCAGGCTTCAAGGCCTTGTGGAATTCTGCATGAGTATAGTTTGTTTCCCCTTAACCCTTGAAATAATCGTTTTAAATAGGTCAAATATAACTTGTTTTCAAGTTGTATTTCTTCCTTTATTATGAAATTTTATGCAAACTTGACAGCAAGCCAACTGATCTTTGTTGTTGAAAATACGCAGTCATGAGGTTTTTTTTTTTTTGCGTATGGTTCTGTTGTCTTTCAGTGTTCAGCGTGGCATTTCCATGTATGTGAGGGGTTGAGAATAAAACAAGAAAATTTGGAAGAAAGATTACCTTTATGCCATAATAGAGGGTTTTATCTAGACAATTACTAACACAATTTTTGTCTCACTGTTATTGCAAACTGGCATTATTTTCTGTTTGAGGCATGTCATGAAACACATGGATTTTTTTTCTTCTTTTCCTTGGCTTACTCTTATTGTTTAGTTTAATAGGTGCCCAAAATTCTTACAGAAAATAAGATTTTGCTTGTGTGCGCCCATGAAAGTAGATCTAAAGCAGTTTTGGTGGCTGTAATTTGATTCTGTTACTTAAGGAAGTAGAATTTTACCTTTAGTCAGGTTATTTACCCTTGGTTTCACATTCACTTTCAGAAATAGTGTGCTACTAATTTTCCTTTATTTAGCCAAAGTTTTCTGGATGGCCTGGAGAAAGTAGCTTTGATTTAAGAATTTTGCAATAGAACTGTGACTTAGTGCAACTTAAAACTCTACTAATTACGTTTTTGATGCAACAGTATAGTGCACAATCTCATCAGTTTTATTGCTAATCAAGGAGGAAAATAGCACTGCAACTTAATATAAACGTTTAAGTGGTTAATATCCAGTGCTAAGTAATGTAGTTGAGACTTCTGTTTTGAAAGAGAAAAACCTGATGTAATCAAGGATTAGAAAGAGGAAACGATGTTGGTCCCATGAGAAATGTCATGTGTGTTGGTTATAGGTGGTAGCTTTCATTTGGATGTTCTAAGCATGCACAAAAATTGATACTAACTGTAAAATCAGAGTAAATCATGCTGTAAAAACCCAATCTCCCTTCTACTCCAGAGCTTGTGCTGAGCTTGCATTTTGATTCTTAGCTTTGAAAATCATCTTGTATATGACTTAAGCTCTGGAACGCACATCCCTTTCATTTTGATGTGCCTTTGGGAAATGTGTTTCAAAACCAGGTTTCTACTCTCCATAGCAGCCTGTGGAGAAGGAGGAAAGGCTGTCGCTGGCTGGACAGACATCGGCATCAGACATGCTAATGGGAATTTGGAGTTTGTGAAGTCAGAAAAGTGCTTGATCTGGAGGAAAGTAGTAGGCCTGAGATAAGAGACAAGTAGGTCTGATGAGGTGGAAGTGGTAAAAGGGAAACGGAGTGAAGAGTTTATACCTAGTAGAGTATACTAGCTTTAAAAGTCTTGAAATAGCATCCCAAAACTAAACAAAACGTTGGTGAAAATGACTGTCAGTTCCCCATTTCCCTTCATGTTCTGGCTCCTGAAGAACATAATAACATTTCCCTGCTATTGTTTCTTCCATTAGCTCATGGAAAGTGTCTGTGCATCTTTTCTCTTCAGTGTATGTATTGTATAATTCCACATTACAAGATCGTGTTTCCCCTTTTGTCTACCGTGTTCTGCCGTAAGCTCCTTATTTTATTCTTGGCATAGACTTGCTTTTGAATATCTCTTATAGGAGTTGGAAGGTTTGAGTGAATGAGATAGGATTGTAGGAAGAAAGTGTGTGGTCCCAAATAGCAGTTTTCAAGTCGTGTTCTGGAGCGCTGAATCATTTGGCTGTTCTTGCCAGTGTTCCTCAGAAAAAAATTGAGAACTGTTAAATTTGCCTAGGTGTATGTCTAACTCAGTAGAATATAAAATATTGTTATGCCTCTGTGTAAGTTTGTGATCGATTATCCTAAATTCTATATACCTGGTGTCTTGAATACTGTGCACGCTACTGGTCCTTTCGTTTGAGAAAGAACAGTGTGTGACTGGAAAGGGAGAGAGGAGGACAGGGCGGCTGGTCAGAGAATGGCTTTTTGTATAAGGAGTGATTGAGTAGGATTTTCTTTTTTTTTAGCTTTGAAAAAAAGCTAAATGAAGACACAATGCAAGCCTTAAAATCAGGACTGACACGAAGGGGAAGATGACTGATTGTTCACTTATTTAATGCAACAACTGAGGATATCAAATATAATTAGCAGAATAGTCTTAAACAAAAGGATTTATCTTCTATTGAGATATATAATTAAACTGTGGAACTCCTTGCCTCTGGATGCTAAAAGTTTACATGAATTCAAAAGAAATAATCATGGAAGAAAATTTGAAGAGCTATTAAATCTAAGATTCCATGTGTTGCTCAAGTGTTTAATTCAGAAATCAATCAATATCTGGAGAAAATACTTTACGGATACCACTTCTAAGTGATAAATGCTTATCCTATTTCTATATTCCTCCTTTCCCAAACGAGTGGTGCTCTCTTAGATGAGTGATGAACTAAATGGATCTTTGGTCTGATGTGTGGTGGCTCTTCTGATGTATTAGTTATGACGGTGAGCACTATTAAGTAGCAAAGGAAGGAATCGAGAGAGAACTGTTTGAATGATATACGTTATATAAAAATTGGGGCCACGTGTAAAGGAGTAAGCAAAACTTTTAATAGCAGCTCATTGAGAGACCTTTGTTCCATTTGTGAGAGGAGTGGGAAGAGACTTCTGGAGAGCTAAAGTTAACTAGTGATCATAGAATGAGGTGGGGGGTGTGTGTGTGTGTGTGTGTTCTTAACCGCAGTTGAAACTTGATGAAGTCCAGTAGATGTTCATGATGACTTTTCACTCAAGAAGAAATTTATGTGCCAACTGTTCTTTTTCTGTGTAAAATATTTGCAGCGTGCTACTGACTTTGTAGAGGCTTGATCATCTGGCCTAACTTGATATCTGTCTATTAATCCTTTTTTTAGTAGCTCCTCTAAAGAAAAAATTTCTCCTTGAAGAAAATGCAAGGAACGCCACACTGATGTATGCTTGAAGTATTCTGAAGTATGAATAATATTTTAGCGCATATTCTCGTGACCAATGGACCTCACATAATCTTAGTGCTTGTTTGGACTTAAATTCTGTAGAATACTATTTCTAAATACTAATGGACGTTTTGATATTTTCCTTTGTTGATACCAGGTAAATATAAAATCACATTTCTTGATCTTGTGATCTTCCTTTGCACTCTGGGAGCCGTGCTCTACCCCCCCGAAGCTGCATCAGCGTCGGTGCGTCATGGTTGTTTCGCCAGTGTAGATTGAATGTAATGTGAAGCGTAGCTGGTGACTAATCGCCTTTTGCTGTCTGTACTTATTAACTGTCTGACGGTGATGTGGTTGCGCCACTTTTGACGAGAGTGACACCTATATCAAAATACACAAAGGTTGATTTTGAAAGGCATTTTGGGTTGGAAATTTAGGCTGCAAACTGATTCTGTGGCTGTTTTCATACATTTTAATGACTATTAGGTAGTAATAGTTATTCTGAATAAGTTGTACCTGTTTGATATTTGAATGATAGCATGCAGTTGATGTTCTAGAGGCTAGCTATTTTCAGTTGTCCTCTAGCTTTGTTGAATTAACGCTATTCTACAATCTGTATATTTTTCATATGGCTTTTTAAACAGGAAATTCATTTGACGTTAGTATCGGGGTTTTGCAAGTCAATTTGACTGGTGCATTAGTACAAGATAAAAATAATATGGTGACTTTCTTACTTTTCAAGTTTGCATGCCCCTTAATCTTTCTAAACAATTTACCAAACGGACAGAAGTGCTGAACTAGTAATTGGTTTTTGGGTAAATGTGTAATTTATAGGTTATCATAGAGAGTAACTTTGCGAATTTCTTAATCGCTCTTGTCTTGGTGGCTGTGAATTCGTTCAGTTGAGAAAATGAATTTTAGGGCCTTTATCCTTTTTAAGTGAAGATTTTTCCTCTTTCATTCTCTGCTCTTCCCCAGCCCCCTTTCCTACCCAGGAAAACCCAGTTTTGGCTTATTAAATGGGATGAAAATTAGTTTATGAATAGAAATTTGATTCTGTCATGACTGTTTCATTACCATGATGGTAATGTAACAAGGCAAAAAGGAAACACAGAAGTAATTTTCTGTAAGGTTTTCTGAAATAATGAGTGGAGTCTACCAAAACTTTGTGGGTAAACTTCTGAGATCTCAGGTGACTCATTTTAGGAATGCCTAATGCTCAGAGTGGTGAGCACCTGCCCCTTTGACAAGTATTAATTTTTTAGGCATGCCGATGAAAATGTGTGAAATTATTGGCCATTTTTAATCTGCTATTCCTAGGTTTGATCTAGTGAACTACTTGGAGTTTATTTAATCAGGAAAAAGTTATTAGCATATTTTACTAATGAGAATACTTGGTTCATCACTGGAATTATTTTATGCATAAAATATATTGCATGGCTATACAAGTAGTTAACTTGCAGATTGCTAAAGAGAAAATGTCATTAAACTTTTCTAAATTCTTATTTTTTAGGGGTTTGTAACAAGAAAGAGGAACCTTTCGTCAAGTTGAAGACAAATAGAAAACTATCATGTGTTAGAATACTGAAGAGTGAAATTTCTTGGATTACTATATTTCTGGATTGTAAAGCAAAGGAAAGAAGAGACTGAAAATGGGCAGAAAGAAAATACAGATCACGAGAATAATGGATGAACGGAACAGACAGGTGAGAAACAAGGAATCTGTGTGAACAGTGAATAGAAACTTTGAATTGGTTCACTTTCTTAATTTAGTCTTTCAAAGCAGAGCTTTGTCTTTACGTGTCTACAGAGTGAGTTACCAGAGTACAAATACAGTTTCTTTAAATGATTTTATTGTTATTTTAGGGAAAACTGTTATTGTAAATAATACCAATTATTTCTTCAGAACAAATTCACTGTATAACTAGCGTTTCTATTTAAATGGTATACTAGTCCCTACGTTCCAGTAGTCCGGAGGACCGTAGAGAAGATCCTTTGAAACGGACGCTTCCCTTGATCTGGATAGCTACTGGGCACACTTAGTAGTTAAGATGGAGAAAGGATGAGAAATTGAGAAGGGATGTAGTAGAACTATTTGCTGAAGCCTCTTTGATGCAGCTGAGTGACATAACTATGGACAATGATCGACAGTGATTTGGATTTTGTAATGAATTCTGCTTACATGCTTCCATTTGTAAGCATTAAATTGTATTCCTTGAGGAGCTATTTACTACAACAGTCTTGAAAAATTGGCCATCAAGAGGAAAGAGTACTCAGAAGTGCGCTGTTTGAAGAATAGCAAAGGGAAAGTTGGCTGCCTGCTTGCTTTTATTTTCTTTTTTTTTTTCTCCCTAATAAAGGGATATATTGTGAACTTGAAAAGTACCAAAAGCTGACGGCTGTATGCAGAAGCGGTATTTCATGTTAATTTCTGAAATCCATTGCTATGTGATGATATCAAAGAAAACTGTAATTGGATATTTAAATATATTTTGAGGTATCTAAAAGCTACCATTTATAAGGAAAATTGTTGTAGGAATGCCTTGTCATTAAGAGTAGTTATAGTGTATCAGAACTGTAGATTCAGCTAGTCCAATGCCTTTTCTCCAGTGGTGGTTGTAAACGAATAACCAGGGAAGAGCAGGATAGAGACACGCATGTTGCACTACTCTGTATTCTCTACTAGTGTCGAACTATTCTTAGCTCAGGGATTTCCTGAGCTGGATGTGGTTTCCGTATATTTTAGTAACCATTAATGCAGTCATCTCCTCCTCTTCCCCCCCATGAACTTGTTCAATCATCCTTTGAGCCCTTATAAAGTTGTAGCATTTACAACATCTTTTGGCAAGTTCTATAGGTCTACTCCCTGTTGTTTCAGGAAATGCTTTTCATTTATGTTTAGTCATGCTTCTGCTAGCTTTTTAGTTCCTCTGTGAAAGAGGCAGCGGTCAGTCCTACTACCTAGTCTGTCCATGTCACTCGTGAGTCTGTACACCTCTTGTCTTATTTTCGTATTTCCCCTTTAAATAACTTTTTTTCAGGCTGAAGCACCCTAACTGAAGTGTTCTTATACAGAAGTTAACCACACCTTTGATCATACTTGTTAATTTTCCCGAGACCCTTTCCAGTACTATTATATTCTTTTTTTTTTTTTTTTTTCCTCTGGGGAAGGGACCCACAACTGCATGCAGCGTGCAAGATGCATGCAAAACGTGGATTCATGTAGATGCTGGTTCTCTTTTCTCTTCCTAGTATTTGGTTTGCTTTTTTTTTTTTTAACTCCTACTGAGCACTGAGTTGATGTAGGGCTAATGCTGAAGTTCGTGAGACTATCTTGCTCCCAGTATCTCAGCTCAGAGCCCATTGTTTTATACGTGAAATCAGGACTGTTTTTTTTCCCTGTGTCTCTTTAAAGCAATGTAAACTCTGAGAACACTATATATAGCAAGAAAAGTCTTTTTGTAGTTTGGGAGAAAGCCAGATATTGTGTTTGAACAGCTTTAATTACACAGTAACTGTATGTTTGGGGTAGATAAAAGACTTAAGTACACATAGTAAAAGTAGCTGAATTAATAACTTTAGTTGTTTCAGATTTTGCTGTAGGACTTCAGGCAAGCTGAAGAGGTTGAAATTGATATTTATTTTTATTTTTTTCCTCCCTCCCCCCTCACTTTTCCCTCTTTAGTAAGAAGTTGGATAACCTTGCGTTTGTTGTGCCTGAAATGATAGATCCGGACTAGATCGTGAGATAGAGAGAGAGATACAATTTTTTTTTTTTTAAGGTTATCCATCTCATTGTTTGAATTGCTGCTCTTTTGTTTTTTTACATGGGGATGAGAGGAAATAACTGTATTTGTATAAAATTTTAGCCATTTGTACACTTGCTTTGGCTAATGTGAAACAGGTGACTGAACTTTGAGTTTTGATTCTGGCTGGTTTTGGCTGACGCTTCTGTGTGCTGTTTGTTTGTAGTGACTGGGAAGAGATTTTAGGCTCTAGCTTTTAAAATCAGAATTGAACTTGCCTTTTTCTATGGAAACTCAGAAATAATATATATTTTGTTTTTAAAGATGTTAAATAGCTCATATCAGTAGATACAACTTTGTTTTGTGTAGAAGTATTGATGTTCTTTAGCCCTCTTTGCATCTTGTCTTTGTGTCAGCTAGCATAAGCAGTTTTGACATATTAAGATATCCTTCTGATGCACAGGATATGTAGTAGGTATTAATTTACTTTTGAGGAATTTCTCATTGACCTAGACAAGAAGGGCATTTAGGGTTTGTTTTGCCAACTGGAGAGCATAGTTCAGTTGTGTTCTGTTGATTTTTCTATGGCACGCATAGCTAGTTAGCAGGTCATTCATAAACAGCACGTAAAGTCCTGCTGTGATGATTCGTATGTTTTTCCATTTGGAAATACAAGTAAAATGTGACAGAGCTTTGCCTGTAGAGTAAGTTCTTATAACTTAGGTGCGAAGAAAAAGCTATTGTTTCGTCAGAAGCCTCTTGTTTCGGATGCCGTTGTGAGTGAGCTCAGAACAGACTATATAGACTGTTACTCTGGGGGGTTACGATTATCCTGAGACCATCATTGTACTATTAATTAAGCACTCTTATCTGCTAGACTGGGCTGTAGGGTGTTTATGTTCAGCTGAAGAGAATGAAGCACACTAATTAGATATCGGAGGAGCTCAGTGTTGCTGTCATTACCCCCCCCACCTTTTCACTAAGCAATATTACAATAATACCGAAGAAGCTATTGCTCCGCAATAAAGATGCGTGTCTTCATTTTAGTGTAGTTGTAAGTAAATGGCGAAAAAAAAAAGAGAGAAACTGGCAGGACTAATCTTCTGTTAAATCTCTTAAACGAAAACTTGAGTTTATTAAAAACTAGATGCATCACCGTAAGACTTTACTGACTGTGATCCACGCCAGTGGGGTGGGCTTGTGATAAGCACTGGCCAAACACAAAGTGAGAAATGGGCCCTAGCTGAAGAGCTTATAATTAGAATAGCCAGACAAGAGATGGAAAAGAAAGCAATTCAGTAAGAGGTTAAGTTGCCTTGCCTCGCATCATACAGGTCCTTAGTGGAACTAGGCCTTCAGTCTTTTCATTGACTCACTTCTCAAAGTAGTACAGCACACTTGCATCTGGTTTATCACACCTTCTTTCTGACAAAGAATAAACATAAAGGTAGTACCTGTCTCTACCTGCTCTTATTTTGGTAATAATATCTGACAGCGTCTTGTAATTGACTAGATCGACAGAATCCCTGGGAGTTTTTACTGTCTAGTTTTAATGCTGCAGTAGTGCTACACTTAAAGTAATGACTCGCCCTTCCCCCAAACCAAGAAGTCCTAAGTGGTGGTCGGGGGGAGTGCATGTGTGGTCGTGTGGGGGTTTTTGTTTGTTTGTTTGTTTTTAACAAATTTTAAAAGTTATTTACAGTATGTTCCAAGTATACTTTCTGAATTTGGTTAATTGACATCCTATTACTTCATTATACTAAGCACTTTTTGGGTGATTTTTCTTGTAAACATGTGCCATGGGAATACAGAAATGCTTTTGTGTTGAAAAAATAATATTTTTATTAGAATGGTATGCCTATTTTAAAGGACGTTGGAATTTAAGAATTATGTTAAATTAATCTATTGATAAATACTTAATTTCAGTTGTATAAAACGTGTGGAATACCTTCAGTGAGAATTTTCTTTTTCTATCTTCAGCATAAATTTGAAATAACCAAAAAAGCTTTTTTAAAAAAAAATTCCTGGTTCTAAATGAGCGTGTATATGTCTGTGTCCATCATAGTTTGTGATATTGCTTTGACAACAACTGTTTGAATTCCTCATGTGTTAACTTGGCTTCTTTTTAGACTCTCTCTCATCCTTGCACTAGGAATTTCATTATTTATCCTGGAAACAATATGCTTTTCATTATTTATTAAGTGATAGCTGCCTTTAGGTGGTTAAGTATATGCAAACTCATAATCATATCTTTTAAACATGAAACTTCATTGTTCCCTTCATTGTGCTTATTTTAGAAATAGGGAAACTGAAAACTGGCAGTTAAATAATGTGTTTAGTATTATGCGGTATTACTAGATGAGAACAAAAGCTTGATACCACAGAGTCCTGACAGACCAGTTGTCGGTGCATAAGAATAGAATGAAAGCAATAGAAAATTGTACGTGGCTGGAACTTTTGCCAAGCAGACACTAGTTGACTATTACCATCAAAAACAATGTAGTCATACTTCATATCCATGAAAGTACACTGATGCTAATAGAACTGATTTTATATTCTCTCATCTTTCTAGATCTTATGTTTATTACTTTCAGTCTTACTATGGCTAAGTTAACAGTGTAGGCTTTCGAAACTCATAACCTCAGCGTAGGGTTTTCGGGGAGCGAGGATGGGGAAACATATGTAAAAACAAATTTTTTTGATGGACATCTATGGTGTTTTGTAGCTAGAGAGGAAACTCACACGTACAGTTCTGATGCCAAGATGCACGGTAGTATTGCAAAGTGTTTATATATAGTTTTAATAATACAGTTACTGTCAGTATGTTGTACACATACAGTGTTAGTGTACCTGTCAGTTTCCCTTTGTGAAACTTTTAGGTGGTGGGGAGGAACGTATGCAGTTTGCACGTGGATAGCAATGAAAAAACAATATACATAAGGCGCTTTTTGCAGAGCTGACTCTTAAGGTGTGTACGCACAGAATCTTCTCATTCATCTTCCGAAAATTCAATGTACACATAAGTGATCAACACGTTAAGTTATAGAAACCGTTAAAACGGGTTTCACTGTTTCTTGTGCTTTGCTTAATTCCTACCTTGCAAAAACATTCTGGTTGATACCAGTTCAACGTATAAGACATATAGGTAACTCGCCCATCACAAAGAGGCTTAGAACTTGAATTGTTATTTGGGGGTGTGAATGTGACTGCAGACAAAGGTGTTTCATTTCAGCCTGAAGCACAGAGTAAAACTTCTGCTACCTCTGAAAATAGCATCTTTATTTAAAAGGTCTCAGAAGATTAATTTCATAGTAGTAGATTAAGTGCCTGTTTAAGGCACTTAAGAGAAAGTTTAGTAAAAATATAGTCCTTTAAGTTGGCCTTGGCATCAGACCTGTAACTGATGCGAATTAAAAATACATCAACTCTCTTATGTCATTAACTGAAAACTTGTGCAAGGAATACATTTTTTTAAAAAAAAAAAAAATTTTTTTTTTTTTGAATCACTGTTGGTTATTTCCATAATGAAGGTTCCCCCTCCCCTCCCTTTGGCAAATGCTCTTTTGTGCTATTCTTTAATAAATTTATTCCTCCAGAACAGTTTGAATTGGACAGAATGCTTGTTTTATGATGTTCCCAAGTGGGAGAAAACAACCCAGATGTGTAAGTGAATTTGGTTAGACAGTTTAATAGCAACAAAATAGCATATTTCTTAGCTTTGCATAATTAAAAATTATATTACATAGTAATGATGATGCTTCCATTGATATTTCTGTTGATATGTTGTTAGTTTTAATTTTGATTTAGTAGAATTAAGGTTGTACATGTTCATAACTGAGTAAAAGCTTTGAATAACAGTAATAATCCCAAAACAAAATAATATAATACCAGGAAAATCAGTGTTGGTTGAACAGAGGAAATGTGGTTAGAGGATCCTCCAGACTTTAATTCTTTCTAATAGTTACATGACAGCGAAAGAGTTGGGTCCGCAGGTAGGTGAAAATCATGGTTTAACTTAGTCTAATATGGAGCGTTGACCCTAAAAAGCACAGCTCTAATTATTTTCATAAGAATTGTGAGAGCCAGGTAAGACGAGCGATCCTTCTTTTAAGTTTGTGCACATGTTCTGTTATGTCATTTGTTAGCAGGAACAGATAGAGTAGGCTATCTTGTTATATTCCCTTGAATGCTTGATTATATCCTTCAAAACGTTGTTATTTTGGGGGAAAAAAAAATCATTATTCTTTCTTCTCTAGGTCACCTTTACGAAGAGGAAGTTTGGATTAATGAAGAAGGCATATGAGTTGAGTGTACTCTGTGACTGTGAAATAGCACTCATCATTTTTAACAGCTCTAACAAACTCTTTCAGTATGCCAGCACTGATATGGACAAAGTTCTTCTTAAGTACACAGAATACAACGAGCCCCATGAAAGCAGAACCAACTCAGATATCGTTGAGGTAACAATTTGAAAAGATGATCAGTTTTCTTATCTCCTTAATGCTTCAAAATGGATCAATATAGACTATTTTAAGTTATTCTAACTATATGTATTTAGTAACTTTAAAACATTGTCGTAGAACGTCAACCTCTATTTTCAGTCTGGTTTCTCTAAGGGAATAAGTCTTCTTTACAGCCACATTGTCTTATCTGCTGCCCAGCCCCTGCCAGATGTTGGTAAACTTCTGATTACATCCAAATTTGGCAGTGGAAGTAGAGATGTGAAAGATGATCTTCTTACTTCTATTTTTTTTCCAAGGCTTTCATGGTTTAAAAAAAAAAAAAATCAGATGGAGGGAAAACAACATCCAAAGCATGTCCACAGCCTAAAGATAATTACAGTTTGGCTGCTTTTCTCTTCTGAGAGGTATTAGCCACTTTACCACTCAGTGTTGTACATGGCTCAGATCAGCCACAACCTGTGGTGCCTCTTGTTCAGCCAAAAAGAATGATGAACTATAGGGGAATGAAAAGTGAGGAAGGCAGAGAATGTGAAAGCGTGCATCTGTAGAGGAAAACAGGCTTTGTTAGTTTTGTTGCTAAATCAATCACTCTGTATGTCAATTAAAACATAGACGTAGTTAGCAGTAAAACAACCAGTTTCTGCAGGAATAGGATAGTATGAATATATTTACTCAGAGGTGTTGCTTTCTTCTGTCATTTTTATTGTGCTTATGCTTCAAGCATAAACGCAGAATTTTCCAGTACCTAATTTCTAAATTAGGTACAACAGAAATTAAGGATTCTCTTGGCAGTTGGAGTCTTTCTGTACTGTAACAGCATTTTTTTTAAAAAGAGCTGAAAATTTTTACTTTTCATTAAAAAGGACTAAATCTGTTTGATTATATTTGGTGCGTTACATTTTCAAGTTTTGTACAAATGTAATAGGATAGAATTTGGCCTAGATACACCTGTATTTTAACTATTTTTTCTCCTTTTAAATATTTTGAATACTTTTGGAATTATCAGATAAGATACCTTATTTCCTTATTTATAATATCTCAGCTATTGAATATTCTCAGTCGTCTTCTACTGTAATTTTGTGATATCTGTGTATTATACATTCAAATAAAGTGTTCTTTTAGCTTCATTTGAAATATGAAGCTTCACAGAAAAGGATAACTAAGAGTTGACAGTAATATGAAAAAACAGGAAGTTGGAGTCTGAGAAACAATGGGTCACCAAAAATGTTAAATTTAAAAGGAGAAAATTGGGTTCTGTTCACTGTTTCAGGAAATAATTTTTAAATACAGACAGTGAATTTGTGGATGGACCTTAATGGGATTCTGTAACTCACCGTGTTTATTCTTCCTGGCTGGTAACCGACTACTAAATGAAGGGAGAAGGGAGGAAGGAGAAGAGAAAGAAGCTGAATTTGATTGTGGCCGCTGGGCTTGTTCTTTACAGCTCAGGCCCTAAGGGCCTGTGCTTTCAGTTAGAGATCTTGGGTTCTTTTTCTGCAGCATTGTGATTGTAGGAGGTTTCAGATAGCAGTCGTGTCTCCAGCAGTCCTGTAAATAGACCAAAACAGCTCGCTGACTAGAGCATTTCATTTAAAATCTGAAGTTGTCTTCCAAACAAATGCCTTACTTACTAGGTATGGCTTAGGAACAGCGATTAGCCTTGTGTAGCCAAAGAATCTATTGCCTCTTATACGCCAAGAAGATCACTGAGTACGGGGAAGAGGCTAGCTGATCTTGTAAATAAGTTTCCAAGCAGAAATCAAGTTGACAAAACCAAGAAACGGAATTTTAAGTGCCTTTCCTTTCCTTCTCAGAAGGTTCTGTGGTAGGGTAAGGTTTTTCACCCTTCTTTATGATCACAAAAAAAACCTCCCTAACGTCTGTCTTCAGCTTTGAGTACTACTAACAGGGATAATACAAGCTTTGAGGAGTAGGAGTATTACCTAATCACTGGATTAGCATAAGTAAGGGTTAAACACTGTAGAGATAGGGAAAACCTAATTCTTTTGAGATAAGCTATTGACTGTGGCAAACCGGGGCGTGAAAGTCAGTTAGCTAGGCTGAGATTTTTTTCTGCTTGTAAGGACCCTTTACATTAGGACTTGTGGAAATACTGCTGCTTCACCTCTTGAGGAGTGAGAACCTCTTTCAAATTGATTTCTACACAGGGCTGCGTGTAGTTTTGTTCTGAGGTCAAGCATTTGACCCACGGCAACCGCACAAAAAAGTGCAGGCCCCGAGTTCGTATATTCTTTCTATTCTGAAAGAACATGTAGGAGCTCATCTGAAGAGTCTAATGCTCCTCCTTCTCTAGGTTTACTTTATTATATCAGTGTGGGGATTGGGACTTTGTCTTGTTTTTAAAACACAGTATTTCTGAATTAGAAATGTGGTTGCCAGACCCTTTAGTTTAGCCCTATGCACTCTTTAGTCTATTTGAAAGATCTTGTTGTTTTTCTAAAGACAAAGTTACTTAGTGGAAGAGGGAAGCGTATACCTTTTTTGAGAGGAAAATCTACTCTGAGTTTTTGGCTGTGGATAGCGAAGTTTAATCAGTAGGATGAAATATTAACAAGCTTGATTAAACAAGGTAGACTGACATCTCGCTGATAGATTACAGGAAAAAACATCTTCAGTTATGTGAATAGTATTTCAGAGAGATGCTCTACAGTTTCATTTTTGCAACTGATTGCACGTCAGACTTGTTCTGTTCATTTGGTAACTTTGTATTCTATTGGCTATATTTTTAAGGCAATTAAGAGATTTCAGTCACGGTTGGGTAGGATGGTTTGCTTCCCGCTGTAAGTAAATTGCATCTTTTTCTTAATTTGCAAGAGATTCATGGGGTGGTTTAAATAAAAAACAAACCTCTACTTTTTCTGCTTTAGAGTTTTTGATTTTGTTTTACAGGTTATTGGCTTATGATCTTTTTGGATTTTTTGTTTTGGTGCATGTGTGTGTGTATATATGTGTGTGTGTGTGTATTCATTTATAGATATAAATTTGCTGTTGTTACTTAGTGGTAGTTTTGTGGCAGTCAGGTCCCTGGTTTAATAATGTGCAGATGGAATGCGTCTTTTCATCGGTCTAATCCTTGCAGGCTTGTAGGAGACCTCTGTGTCTAGGATTCTGGCACAATTCAGGCAAAACTTAACCCGTGTTCTAAGCCTAGCCTGGACTTGTCCAAAAAATACTAGAAGATTTATGAATTACAGGGAAAATCTTTCTTAACTTCCATGAAAAATGGGCAATTTATTAACCAAAAAGGCAAATTTTTTCAGATTTCTGACTTGACTTGAAGAAAGCTAAGAATGTCATGGTAAAGTGTATGCTATTTTTGATTTCTCATTCCTTGGAAGCTTTATGAATCTTTTTTTAAATTTAAAAAAAAGCCAAAGTACAAACTTTAATGGCAGATTTTTTTGTTAAATTTTCTTTTTATCAATGGACTTAATATTTTAACTTTCTAGAGATAGGTTTTATTCTTGTATATTGTCATAGTCAATTAGCACTAGAACTAGGGAATTATGGTTGCTAATTTAAAAATGGAAAATGGAGCTAACTAATTTTTAGGTTATTTAGCAAGGTACCCAGAATACTTTGAAAAGTCTTGAGTCAGCAAATACTTTCCTTTAAGGAAAAAGGATATTTCTCACTTATTCTTGGACTGCACTATTGCTAATGCAGCTACTTTTTGGAAAGGCTTCTCATATATTTGAGGCATTTTTTTAAAATATATGTTTTAATTTAACAGCTGGGGCTATTAGTGTCCTTTTGTACAGGATTGAAATCCTTTTTCTTCAGATAAATTGTAATGCCTTTACAAAAGAATCCAAGTCCTGTGAAAATGGAGACATAGCTATCCGAGATATTGAAGATACTCCTGATGGATTTTATTCTAAGCAATCTAGACTTATCTAATATATGCAGAAATAAGCCTTCTGGCTGGAAGTCAATGAAGCAACAATACAAATGCTTTGTTTCCTTGATTTGAACTGAAATTTGTCTTTCTAAAATGAAGCATATAGGTGCTCAGCTCATGTTTCTTTTGTAACTTCATGTGCACAGTTGTCATGTTCCAAGACTGAGAGAGGTCTGCTGTCCAGTTCTGCAAGAACACACACTCTCGAAGCCCTACTGAGCCTTCTAAGTAACAATCTGAGCTGACCTAATAGGTCCCAAGCAAGAGAGAAGTCCCTTCCTTCTTTTACATGTCATGCAGCTGCTGGCTGGTGCTGGTTGGATATAGTCATAAGCGGGTTCAGCTTGTAAATCCAGCAGGAAATTATCTCCTTTTTTTTTTTTTTTTGGCTTTGTAGCAGCTGAATTGGCTGAGTGAGGAATGTGAAGTGCTTTGGAACAGGCGGAAAAATAGGAGCAACATAGTTGGGGGGGGGACATAGGAGAAGAGACAAGATGGGGGAGAGTAAGACCCTCCCTTTTAAGCAGCAGCAAGCTGCTGAAAGTTCACTGCTTCATGGTATTTCACCACTACAGGATGCTGGTGGCGTAACATAGGTGAAATTAAAGTGTCAGCATTTTGGAAATGTTTTGAAAGAACAATGTAAAATGGTGGCTGCTTATTATGTCTGTGCAGAAATACAATTTTAACCAATATTTATTATAAAAGAATAAACACTTTTCAAATATATACACTAAAGCAATTTGGAATAAATAACTTTTATGGGATTAGATTATGGTTGATTGTGTGCGTCTTAGTTAATATTTAGTAATTCATTTGCTTTCTTGAATATGACAGATGGTGTTTATTGTGATGTAGGGTCACCACGAAAGTAGCCTTGACCCACTGTGTTCCTCAAACACATGACAGAAGACCTTTTTTTTGGCTGTTTTGGAGAGGAAAGCTGATTCTGCACAGGTCAGAAGATGTGAAAGGGAATAAACTGATCTACCACTCCTTATTTTTCAGTACTGTGTAGCTAATAATATTGTAAATGATTAAATGAGACTGATAAAAGACATCTTTTCTTTCCCTT